TCCCTGGATTCTTCCTCAGTGGATTTGTCATTGGCATATAGGAAGACTACTGACGCTGCACATTAAATTTTTAATCTGACTCCTTGCCGAAGGTGTTTACCAGATTTTAAGGTTTTTGTGGTGAAAACTTCTTTTTCAAGACAGGGTTTCACTGTGTTCTGTAGCCCTGGATGTCCTGGACCTTACTCTGTAGACCAGGCTGGCCTTGAACTCACAGAGATCTGTCTGTCTCTGCAAATGTGTAGATGAGGCTGGCCTTGAACTTGTGATCCTCCTGCCTCTGCCTCCTTCAGTAAATCCTATTGGTGTGTGCCACTGTAACCACCACGGTGAAGTCTTTAGGTTTTCCTGTATTTAGAATCATACCACCCATACATGGGGTGCTTTGACTTCTTCCTTTCCTGTCTATATCTCTTTCATTTCCTTTTCTTATTGTTTTAACTAGACTTCAACACTACATTGAGTAAGACTGTGGACACTCATGTCCTGTGTTCCTGGTTTTAGTGTTTTGAGTCTTCCCCATTTTGTATGTTGGCTATAGTTTTGTCCTATATCACCTTTACTAAGTTGGGATATGTTCCTTCTACACTGCTTCAGAGTTTGATAGTGAAGGGATGCTTTACTATAAACTGATAGATTCTGTCAAAAGCCTTTTCTGTGTCTCTTAAGATGATTATGTAACCTTTGTCATTTATGTTAAGTAGCATTTGTTGGTTTGCAGATGTTTGACCATCCCAGCATCTCTGCAATGAATTGGACCATCTTTTTTATGTGTTCTTGAATTCCATTTATAAATATTTTATTGAGAATTTTTGCATCTATGTTCCTCATGAAGATTGTTATTGGTATATGGGAAGATTGGCTTTTATGTTAAATTTGTATATTAACACTTCTCTGGAAATCTTTATCAGATCTAAGAGTTTAATGATGGCATCTTAAGGGTCTCATGCATAGAGTTGTCTTTCATCTCCTTTTTCTTCCTTCTATTTCCTTTGCTTCCCACACCTGGATAAGTATTTCTCTGATTTCATAATATCTCTACTATGATTTCATTGAAAATGCTTTCTATATCTTTAGCATGAAAATTCTTATCCTTCCTGTATGCTCATGATTCTTAATTTTAGTCTTTCTGTAGTGTCCCATAGATCTCAAATCTTTTGCTGGTATCTTATTAATTTATCTTTGCCATTGTCTGTATGTTTAAATTCTTCTACTTTATTTCAAGCCTTGATATTATATTGTCTCCATGCTCCATTCTTTGGCAAGGCCTTCCACAGATGTTTGTATTTGACTAGTTGAAATTTTTTATTTCCTGTATTTTAGTTCTCTCTCTCTTTTTAGTATTTCTCTCTTTACTTAAGCCCATTTTAATGTCCCATAGTGATATCCTTTTTTCATTTATCTGTTTGTGTTCTTCTGTAATTTATTCACAAGTATATTTGTTTCCCCTTTGATTTCCTTGAACATACTTAATAATTATTGTTTTGAATTCTTTGTCTGGGATTTCATCCAGCTCACTAACACTGGAAGACATTACTGTGGGGTTAGTAGTTACGGTAGGAATAATATTGGACCTGGACTTCAGGGCACTTGTTTTTTTGTACTGGGACTTGCACATCTGTGGTTAAGTTGTTAATTTTTTTGTTGTTGTTTTGTGTTTAGTTTTTTGAGACAGGGATTCTCTATGTAGCTTTGGAGCCTGTCCTGGAACTAGCTCTTGAAGACCAGGCTGGTCTCAAACTCACAGAGATCTGCCTACCTCTGTCTCCTGAGTGCCGCGATTAAAGGCATGCATCACCACCACTATACTAATTAGTTAGTTTGATTTTTTGAACCATCCTTATCCTTTCAGTGCAAGTGTTTTTGATATTCAAGAAAGATGAGGTTACATTAAGGTTAAAGTTTTTTTTTCAGCTAGACTGTGCTCAGGGAATCAGACTCCTTCCCCATCACTTCCCTTAAAGCAGAAATGGCACACAACCAACCCTCAAACTCCAACTACTTTAGGGGGTGAAAAACACTGATCATACAGTGTATAATAAGACATTGGTTACTGTGAGAATGAGTAAAAAGAGGAAAAAGCAGAGAAGGATGAGTGATTTATATTGGGTTGATAGAGAAAAAGGAGAAAAGGAAACAGGAGGGGGAATGGTAGGGACAAAGATGGGCGATGAGGTCCTTTTGGCTGAAGGTAGAAAGAAGTAAGAGAGGTGCAATCAGATAATCTAAACAGTCACAGCTCTCAGGAGGCTGAGCCACAGACATGTTACAGACTAAGTAAACCCAGTTTCTTTGGGAAAGCCTTCTAACATAAAGTTAAAGGGGAAATGGAGAAGAAAGAGAGAAAGGATGAGAACACAAGAGGACACAGCCTGTTGCCTGAATTGACATCGAGTCTTAAATAAAGGGAGAAGAAAGCTGGAAGGGGGAACTGGGCAGAGGTACGGTGTCTCAACGGTCTTGCAAGATCGCTGCCTTCAGTGTCAACTCTCTTGGCGTTGCTGCCCATGCTCCCAGATGCCTGTCCTGCTCTGCATGTTCTTTGACAAGGTCAGGTCACAGAGGCTGCTCCTGTTAATGGGTAGTCCTTCATAGACTGGTTCACAGACTCTGGTTATAGCTCTTGGTGGCTCTTCAGAGGTTGGGCTGTAAATGCTCTTGTCAGCTTTGCAAGGCTGAGGTCAGCTGGTTCCATCTGTGAGTGTGCTTCTCAGATCAGGTCACACATCTGGATGGTCCTCCAGAATGCAGTTGCGAATGATGGCTCTCCCCGTGGGTCATCCTTTCAGATGTGAGACATGCCACTTGGAACTTGTGTCTGGATTCTACTGTTGATGCTGCCTCACCAGGATTCCACTGGGCTGAATACCATGGAGTTCTGATGCAAAGTATCTTCTCTATCAACTAGAGGAATTCTACTAGTTAGATTTTAGAGTACCAGTCTGTGACACTTGTTTTGGATTCATCAAGGGTTTGGGGGCTCCTATCTGATGGCTCATAGGGATCTTTTGAAATGACATGTCGTTGCTGTCTTAGTCATGTTCCCAAAGATGAGGGTTTTCCCAGTGTCTTTCCTCCCCGGATGCTATTTCATCTAACCTTTGTCCTTGCCCCCTTCCCTTCTCTCTTTAAAATGTCTGCTAACAGAAAGACAATGTGGATTTTTTTCAGGGTCTCTGTCTTGAATATGGCTATAGTTGTTCATGCTCCTTGACAGAGGGGACTCTCAAGATTACATAATTTCCTTTGGAGAGTAACTCTAGTTTCTCAGTTCTGCCTTAAAAGTTTTGTATTTTACTTTCCAATCAGACTTTCCAAACCTTTGAGCTGTACTTTGCATGAACACTCCCTCCATGGGGCTGCCTCATTTCTGGGTGTGAGTTACCTGAAACTTATTTTCCCCCTGAATTCAACAGCCAAGCTTTCATCTTTCGTATTCTAATACTTAGTTTTCACACTTTAACATATCTAGAACAGGTAGTAGCTTAAAATTGAGAGTGTTTTAGTCTCTAATGTATGGTAGCCAACCCACCCTGTTTTCCCATGCCAGGTTTGTATCCTGACATTGCTTCCGGGGAGAAGTTTACCTTCTTTGTTGGCATTTCTCTTGGCATTTCAGTTACTTCCCAACTGTCTCTGCACTAACTGCCTCTGTCACTTGGGTGTGGCCTGGGTCAAGACTCCATTTAGACTGTCCCTTCTAGAGTTTAAACCCTGGGCATCTTGTAGGTTTTAGCTGAGAAGTTCACCTATTTCAGAGAAACTTTCTGTAGACACTCCACCTAGATAAGATAGGCAATTTCTTCATGCCCATGTCCCTATGTCATCTTTTGTGGGGTCTCTACTCCTGCAGGACTGTAAGTTTCATTAGTGTTGGGACCTTGATTCATTAAGCACCTATTTGTGTGTGTGTGTGTGTGTGTGTGTGTGTGTGTGTGTGTGTGTGTAGGGGGGTGAAGTGTGTGTGAGTACTTTGTGTGTTGAGTATGTGGTATGTATGTGAGTGATAAGTGTGTGTACCCATGCTCACAAATGTATAGATCAAAGCAGGATGTGCAGTGTCTTCCTCTATCTATATCCATCATATTCTCTTGAGGCAGAGTCTCTCAGTGAACCATAAATGTGTTGTTTCAGCTAGGCTACCTCCATCCTCCTAATGCTGGGGTTATGGATACATGTGACTGTGCCTAACTTTTTAGGAGAGTGTTAGGGATTTAAACTCAGGTCCTCATGCTTGCAGAACAAGGGCTTCTACCCACTGAACCATCTCCCCTCTCCCACACCTGGTTCTTAATGCAGACATCGTAGAAGGTTGGGTGAGCATCACAACCTTAGTGCTAAAACACTTGGAGAAAACATTCAGTTGCCTAGAGTCCCTCATACAATAGATTAGGGGGCAGAGAAGAAAAGAGTAATTGGGAAGTAGGGGTGAGGACAGTGTCAGGCACCAAGAATGATGCCCCACTTTCTTTCTAACTACTGCTCCTTGTGTAACTCTCATGTCCCCTTCACAAGCTTCGTGTTGTATCCATTCAGAATGTCTCTATGTTATTTTCAAATTGAGAAATTGGACTTCCATTTTACAGATCTTTCATATGGCAGACACACTGGGAGGTTTTTTTTCTAAGGTGCAAATCTTATGTTTGACTCAAGGCATTCAATCGCCTGTTTTGCTTTCAAGAATTTGATTTGATGTTTCCTCATGGTGGGAGGTAGACCAGCAGCCTTGGGAAACTTACAGCTGGAATTCCAGTCATGAAAGACACAAACTCTGTTTTGCATTGGCTGCGTTCCCCGTTGCTGTGACAAAAGATCTGACAAAAAGAAACTTAAAGAAGAAGTGAGTTTGCTCCATATTTAGTTTACGCTGTGACTTAAATGTAAAATGCTCCCCATGGGCTCATGAGCTTGAATTCTTGCTCAGCAAACAATGGCGCTTGTTTGGGAAGGTAATGGGACCTTGAGAAGATGGAGCCTTGCTGGAGGAAATACATCACTAGGGGTGGGACTTTGGGGGCAGGTATAGCTTGACTCCACTCCAGCTCTCTCTTTGCTTCTAGAATGCCAGTGCCACCAGACAGAGCATAAAGCAGTGGTGGTTGCTCAACAGAGGCTGTCTTCCACCTGTCTTGTGAGAAACCTGGCTCTTCCATGTGGTATGTATGTGAGTGATAAGTGTGTCTTGGCTTTTCCATGGCCCTTTGTCATGTTCATTCTCCAGCTGGTGAGTGGAATGAAGACTCTAGACAAGTCAGTCACATCTGCTACTTAAGGTTCCCAACCCAAGTGGCACTCAGAGTATCTGCTTGTCTTCCACTAGCAAATGATAGACTCATCTAGCCAGATGGGAGGATGGTTGATTTAGTCTATGGAGGGGGGTACCTTCTGGTGGGACTACTTCCCAGAGACCACCCCACCTTCAGATAGGGAGTTTAGGGTAAAGAGGTAAGCATATGACTGTGAAATAAGGCTTCTGCATAAGGGGCATTTTCTGGGGGATAAAGAGACCACCACACCTTAGTCAGGGAGATGTGTCACCTGCAGCAGCCCAGGATGGGCATGAGCATGGTGTCTATTGCATGAGACATGTAGGCTGTCTCCTGGCTCCAGTCCTCTGGGCTGGCACCTCTGTAGTATGGAACAGACTTATTCTGTAGACACCTGAGTATAAATGGTGGTTCCCTAAGGAGACAGAGATCACTAAGGAATGACAGTCACAGGAGAATCTAGTGTGATTCTGACTAGGAACTTTAAACACATTCTCTTCAGGACAAGACACCCCAGAAGGCAGAGGGTCCTCAACAATGGCTCCATGAGTTCTCTCCAGCTGGGCCTGGGAGCAAGTGAAGCCTGGATCTGGTGGGACATAGATGGGTCTGGGATTCTTACAGTGTGGTGGTCACAGCTGCTCCATTCTCTTCCCTGACTAGTATCTTGGATATGATCTCTCACAGATCCTCCAAGAAAAGGGAACTCCTATGGAGCAGGTGACAATGATTCTGGATTTGAAAAGTAGAATGATTTAAAATAAACAAACAAATTTTGGAAATCCAGATTTGTGATTTAGATTTCAGCCCACCCATGTTATTTCAGGAGTAAAGCCCATAAGTGACACTTAACTTTGCAGAATGTAGGGTTACTCTTTCTGAGGTCCATTCAGCTCCTTGGATGTACAAAAGACATCATGTCTGATTGGTCATTAAACAAGAACTATCTAAACTCAATGTCTTAGTTAGGGCTTCTATTGTTGTGAAGAGACACCATGACCATGGTAACTCTTACAAGGGAAAACATTTAATTGGGGCAGCTTACAGTTCAGAGGTTCTGTCCATTGTCGTCATGGTGGGACATGACAGCATGCAGGCAGACATGGCACTAGGTAAGTAGCTGAGGGTCCTACATCTTGATTCACAGACAACAGAAAATGAACTGCCTCATTGGGGGTAGCTTGAGCATAGGAGACGTCAAAGCCCACCCCACAGTGACACATTTCCTCCAACAAGGCCACACCCACTCCAACAAGGCCACACCTCCTAAAAGTGCCACCCCCTTTGGAGGTCATTTTGTTTCAAACCACCACAATCAAGAAAGGCATGAGTAAGACGACCAAGAGAAGGGACTTTTTCAGAAAGCTGATGATTTTTTTTTCCAGACAGGGTTTCTCTGTATTGTCTTGGAGGCTGTCCTGGAACTCACTTTGTAGACCAGGGTGGTCTCGAACTCACAGAGATCCACCTGCCTCTGCCTCCCGAGTGCTGGGACTAAAAGGGTGCACCACCAATGCCCGGCAGAAAGCTGCTTTTTAAAAGGGGAGTATTTACTTAGTGTTATATATAGATAGCTCTTAGATATTTGTTATAGGGAGAAAAGTTCAAATTTAAGTACACAGTGTGATTTTCAATAGAAAAAATGGTATTTTTTGTTCTTTACACCCCTACACACACACACACACACACACACACACAGCCAAAAATAATATAATATGTAAGACTAAAAAATCTGAGTGGGAGAAAAACTTAATAATTGTAGTTAAGTGGGGAAACATGTGTCCTGCCAAAGGTTAAGCAACGCTCTAGTCATCGGCGTGACTCTCAGGCAGATCCGGTGCAGAGCTCCCTAGTTCATAAGAAATAGAGTAGGCGCTTCACTGGAGCCAGAGAGCCAGAGACCTCAGGATGGGGTGACAGGGTGCCGGAAAGGGAATACTGGAAGTAACAGAACGGAAACGGCTTCCATGAGGACAGCCAAAGAAATCATGACAGATGCAGTGGTCAAGGAGGCTCACACCACTCAGCCTGGGTTTCCAGAAATGAAGAGGGAATTCCAGGAAAAGCATTTACCCAGCCTGCCACCTCGCTGTTCCCAGTGAAGATCCAGATTCCCAATAGGGACTTCCAACTTTCCCCACAAGCCAGGATGCCTAATGGGCTGACGCTGCCCTGTTGGTAGATACCATACCAGCAGTGAGCAAGCATATACAGGAGTGAGTGCAGGGATATCTGGGAAGCTGGGGAGATCCTCAGGGTGTGAGGGGCAGGGCCTTCTCAAGAAACTGTACTCCCAGAATGAATGGAACAGACTCCAAACCAGGTGCAGAAGAGAAGGAAAGGGTGTGACCAACAGGATAGCCCGACTCTAAGCCCTCCTTAGTGAATTACTATTGTGGGGTCCCCTCAGGAGTCCAGGGCCTAACTCAGCCTTTGTTATGGGCACCAGCTGCAGCTCTGAGAAAGAAAGGACGGACCTTTGCATGCCCCCTGAACAACTTCGGTCTTTGGCTTAGAGTCGAGGACAGAGAAGACCCGAGCCCCACAACCCCTGGCATCATCCGGCTAGGGAGCAATGTCAGGATGGAAGTTCTGTGTCTGTAACCGGGAAACCTTACCAAGTCTCCTTTACAACTCCCAGCTGGCCTCTAAGGCAGTGATTCTCAACCTTTCCAATGCTGTGACCCTTTAATACAGTTCCTCATGTTGTTGTGACCGCCACCACATCCATAACATCATTTTCGTTGTTACTTCACAACTGTAATTTTGCTACTGTTTTGAGTTGTAATATAAATATAAATATGTGTTTTCTGTGAAAAGGTCTTTCAATTCCAGTGGGGTCGTGAGCCACTGCCCTGAACACTCCTGATTCCTCCCTATGGGCCACAAGAAAAGTAAATGGAGCCCCTCTGACTCCCTGCCTCCTGTGCAGAGAGGGGCTCCGCTGGCAGAGCCCAATGCCAGGATTGTTTGGGAGCAGCTGAAATGCCTTATTTGGCCTCAGCGACACTGGGGCCGTAGAAATGTGAGCAGATCAGGAGGCTGGGGATATTTTCCCCAGTCAGAGGTCAGAGGAAAATCCACCTGTATTGGTAACATCAGATGAGGGTTTGCATCGACTGTGCCTGCCCCAGGAGTGAGATGGGGCATAATTCTATCATGGTGGAGGTGGTCCTCGGTATGCAGGCAGCACCTTGCGGCTCCCACAAGCACTGTAAAGAGGAGGAATAGACTCCCACACCCTTCTCCTTTCCTTCTGTATTCTGACTGTGACCTGGGAAAAAGAGACTGAATACCACAAGCCCAGGCTGGGGTCACTCCATAGCCCTTTCTAGATCTGTGACCTTCAGCCCAACGTTTACAGGTCATGCTCTCAGATGAAGGCAGAAGTTTCTGTCCTGCCAGCCAGCTCCCAAATAACCACACAGAGGCTCATTATTAATTATAAGTGCTCGGTCGATAGCTAGCTCTTGTAATGTAAATGAACCCACATTTCTTATCTATAGGTCACTTCTGAGATAAGTCATTGCATTGTTTGCTGTGTCCTCCCCTCCGCAATTCCTTTGAACAAATTGTGGAATGTAAAGACTTGTTTCAGGTGAACCCAGAAGTTCTCCATCCCACAAATCCGTGCACACAGGCATAAACACCAGTTACAGGGTGGAACTTAAGTGGGACAGTCCCTAGGCTGAGCACTGCTGGATTGCCCTAGCAGGTCATGTCAGTAGATATAATAGAAACGTGTATGTTGGGGCAGTAAGAGTAGGACAGGATCATTCTATATTATATACAGGCTAGCCTTAAGCCTGACATTCTCCTGCCTCAACCTCCCAAGTCCTGGGATTATAGGTTTGCTCCACCAATGCCCAAAAGTTCTTGAAAAAGGTAGCCCTGGGAAGGTTGGCTGGACATCTCCACAAAATAGGTGTTTCACCAGGGAAAACCCAGGAGCCATGGTGTGCCCTGCTTTATGATTAAACTATTCCCATCAGTCTTTTAGTCGATGGGCCCCTGGCATTGGAGTGTGGACCTCTCCCCACTCAGTGTGTGCACCAAATGGAGCCCACTTCATCACAGATATCCTGAGCCAGGGTCTGTGGCTTGGCTTCAGTTCCTTTCGAATTCATTGTAAACTGTGTGTTTGCAAGGAATTTTCAGCGGAACATGGCATATTGCTTTATTGAATTCCAAAACCTCCAGAGTTTTAAAAGCAAGTCGACGAGGAGTTAATAAATTCTGGGGAAGATGGATTTTGGTCAACTGTGCTTAAAAAACAGAAAGATAGTCTTTGCCAATTGTTTCTGGGACAGCCTGTGGGAAACCAATTCTAGTCACTTGATTAGCATTACTGTTACTTTCCTTGGGGTGCCTGGTCCAAAAATCATCCCTCGTTACCACTTTCCCTCGCCAACTGGTGTTTTCTTCCAAATGTCTTCAGGTGCCACTCAGATTTGGGAACGTGGCCAGTACCAGGATTTGGGAATACACACGGCAGCTGCAAGCCTCCAAAGGGCCATGCAAGGGTAGCCCATGAGTCTCCCCACTCTCCCCTTTCCACTTTGTTTGGTGGATTTTTATCCATATTTTATCTGCTTCCACATTTCTAGAGAAGATTTGAAATGTCTGTTTTTGCCATGATACAGGGTCACGAATGCTTTGTGTGAGGTACAAATGTCATGTCACTAAAATGTTCAAGCTGGGCCCAAGATGCTCAAGAAGCAGTTAAAATTAAATTATCCCATTTACTTGAGTGAATCCAGAGACTAAAGACATGTTCCCAGTTACTTCTCTGATGGCAGTCTTCGGTGAGTGGGTCTGTTCTCTGCCTTGGAGACCATGCGCCTCTCCAGAACTGATACTTCAGTTGAATGGTTAGGACAATTCCTCTGGGATTTAGTGGCCTTGGGGCCACCATCCTAAGGCTGCTTCTTTGTCAATGCTGAGATCTAGGCCATAATGGTAAGTTTGGAGCTGTTGTATTACTGTGACTTTTTTTCTTTGTAATTGTTACAGTCTTAATACGTTTTAAATTTGGCCTATTTTCTGGTTTGTTAAGGTTTTCGTGCTGCAGTAAAACCTCTGAGAGGAAGACGGCAGAGTAGAAGAAGGTTTGCAGAAGGCCTCCGATGGATCCCCGGCAGGGTTGCTTGTCTATGCCAGCTGGATGAAGCTAGAGAAGGACACGCGCTTTTTCTCACTGAAGCCTGTCTTCCCCAGCTCCTAGGAGGTGGGATGGGTTTGGTCCCTGCCAGCCTTTTCCTCTGTAACAATCTCCCCTGTGTGTGCAGTTGTTCTTGAACTCAGGTCACAGCTCTCATTGAGATACCGCTTTCTGGAGTGTGCCGCCTGGATGCTCACATGCAGGTCTGTCAGCAAATTCCCTGAGGCTCGTAGGCTCACGCCATCACAGCTGCCTCCCACTTAGAGAAGAGGAACCCTAGCTGGTCCTGGTCAATCTCACCCTCCTTCTCTGTCCGAACAGCAGGCCTTACCGTGAAGAATGAGTGAAACAAACAGCATCGTAGCTTCTTGATACTGGGTTTTGGGCACAGGTGCTTCTGACCCACAGTCCTGATGGTGCTGCCCATGCCCTGGTGTTGTGAACAGAGCCAGAGGAGACAGAAGGAGAGGGTCAGGGAGTTCATTTGCAGGCAACAGTCAAGAGCAGGGCTAATGGCAGTTCTCAACATGTGGGTCTCGTGATCCCTTTGGGGGATCAAATGACCCTTTCATATAGGTCACCTAAGACCATCAGAAAACAGAAATATTTACATTGCAATTACGATTACGAGGTAGCAGTGAAAATAATTGTAGAGCTTGGGGTCAGCCCAACATGAGAAACTATATTCAAGGGTCACAGCATTTGGAAGGTTGAGTGTTCACACCCACCTCGACCAGCAAGGAAGACGCAAAGCTCAGACTCTTCTTTAAGCAGTTTATTCAGGAACCTTGAACAATCTTCTGACCCCAGCGAGTGCCCGCCCACAGCTTAAAAACCCTTGGGCGGCCAACCCCGGTAAGCCAAGTGGTGACAGCAGATAGGTCCACATACGCGGAAGCAAGCCTGATATCCAGCCTTGACCAAATAAGGAGTTGTTTATCAGAGAGCACCTGCTGTCGGGCTAGCAGAAGGCGGAAGCCAGCACCATCTTAAGGGTGCGGCACTTCGCAGCTCTCTACAGTTGAGAACCACTTAACAGAGCCCAGGCCTAGGATCATAATCAACATCTGGACAGATGGAAGCCCTCAGTGGATCTGGGGTAAACCCTAGAGTGCTGGATGTCCTCAAGAGGATGCTGTGGATGGCGCAAGTCCTCCATAGGAAGGTCTAGCGGGAAAACAAGCATGAGCAGCAAGTGCTTGCCAGTTGTTCCCAACTGGGTCATCAAACTCATTGAATTAGCTTGTATCGACCACTGTGCAGAGCATAGGTAAGAAGACAAATGACCAGAGCAACCACGAGAGACACTCAGAACCCTCTGGCGGCTCTGAAGCAGAACCAGGGCTAGACCTAAGGTCCAGCCCTTCCCACTTCTGTCCCTTGCTCCTTCAACCAGGATGGTCCAGAACACTCTGACTGTTCATTGTCCAGGGTTTGGCTACATCAGTTCTTTGTCTTGTCTTTGAATGCAGCAGATTCAACACCTTGAATGTAAACTATTTCTCCAGGGCTTTAAAAATCACCTTGCCTTTGTTTTCCACCCCTGTAACAGAGTACCACAGAATGGGTAGCTTATAAAGAAAATACATCTGTTTCTGCAGTCCTAGAGGATTAGGGAGTTCAAGACCAAGGCACCAGCATCTGGTGGGGGCAGTTCCTTGCTACCTCATCTGATGGCAGAAGGTACAACATGATGGGAAACAAAAGGAACAAACTCTCTCCCTCTAATAACTAGCCTATCCCCATGACAGTTTCTATAGATAAATTTTTAAAAAATCTCTGTCTGTGCAGTCCCTGTCTAGAATAAGGAAACCATCGCTTTTGTTTCACGAAGGCTTGGCAGGGTAGACGCCAGTTCCACAAGAGCTTGTTGAATATGAACCCCTTGAAAGGCCTCTTGTTAGTAATGGCTGCAGTGGAGCTCCAGCCACATGCTAGGTAACACTGAGAACTTTCCCTGACCTCGGGTAGGCTAGCTGCCATGCTTCCGTCAGAGGTGAGGGCTGGCTGGAGGAAGTGGCTCTCCATGTTTATTGTGGGTAAAGTGGCAGCACAAGACTCGAACGTGGGTCTGTACGATTCTAGCTTCCATATCCTTCCTGTCTGCCCACTAGCCTCTCATGTCGTCATTGACTTGAGGGTTAGAGGTGACTTCAGATACACGTCCAGCAACCAGGTTTCACAAGGGTGAAACACGGAGAAACAGGGATGGGGGAAGGAGGCTCCCAGGTGGGATGGGACCTCAGCAAGAAACACACATAATGGACTTGATGAGTGGAGAGTGACGAAAGACGGGCCAGCATCAAACGGCATTCCTCAGCAGGACTAGTGCTGACACCGGGGCCGGGTGGCAGTCAGTGTGTGGGATTTTCTAGGGCCCCAGAGGGAAATTCTCACACCTGAACCATGCCCACTAAATGCCAGTTGCCACCTCCATCCTTGTGTCAACTCAAATGCTTGCACGCACTTCTAAACACCCTCCAAGGCACCCTGTGTGTCAGAGCCAGAAGAGAGATGAGCATTGAGAGTCCAGTTGGACTGTTATTGGGATTAGGTTAAGGAAGGCTCTGAAAACCCGACAAACGAGTCTGGCCTTGAGCCTGGAAACAATGAGGAGCCACGGAAGGTTGATGAGCAGGGAAGAGTGCTTGGTGGGGAGGGCTAGGAAAGGGGAGAGCCAGACACTGTAGACAGCAGACTCTCAAGGTGGCTGAGAATCCCCGTGAGTCATCTACTGTTTATCTCCTGTGGTCAGCCGTGTCTGTGGAGAAATAACCAGTACCTCACCAGCCCAAGGGGATGGAGTTCCCTTACTAAGCTTTAAAGGAACCGGGGGCTCTGTTGAGTCACAGTATTAGCCCATTTTCTGTTACTGTAGTAAAGACGCTTGAGTCTGCATAGTGTATAAAGAAAAGAAGTTTACTTAGCTCATTTTAAATGCTGAATGTCTAAACAGCATAGTGTCAGCTCTGGCCAGAGTCTCTGTAGCCATATCACAATATGACATATGACAACATTGTGGGAACTCATGAGAGAGGAAGAGATCACATGGCAAAAGGAAGTCAGTTCTAGAAACCGAGAACTAAGGACCCATGGTGACTACACTAACCCTTCCCAAAAGCATGTTTTTAAAGACCCATGACCTTCCCACCGGTCCCAACTCTGAACTGTCTGTCCTGTTAACATCCCCCCACACTCTCAGCATATGTGCCCCAACCATCTGTCCACCATGCAGTGACACAGTAGACAGAGCATTGAGACCCCCTATGCAAAAGACCTAATGCCCTGGCACCACAAACAGGAAGGGAGGGAGGGAAGCAGGGGAAAAGATGACTCAGGGACTTGCCAACAATTATTTCCTTTGTTTTTAAGTCCAGTTTATTTAAGCTGTCTCTGAGCCTCTATCTATCTCTTTATCCAAGAGGTCATTAAACTCTATCTTGTAAACTTTGTTGCAGGACTAACTTGCAAACAAGGAACATACTGTACCAGCTATTGGTTCTTGAGCCAGACATCTCAAGGAGCTCAGTCCCCACTCATGGCTCTGTGAAGCCTTAGCCCTGGGGTTGTGACATATTTAGGCAGAGAAAAGTGTAAGCGTGTGGGATAGAGAAGGAAACTCTCCCGAGTACCATAGGTGAAATATCTGGAACAGTCTGTGTCTGTGTGGGTCTCAGATGGGAATACTCTACTGGGGACCACTGGGCATCACTCTTCAGACTGAAAAAAAAATCACTGGGACTGCTTGCATCCCAGTTATCAGACAGCCTCAAGAATGATGCGTAGCTTTGTTTATAAGGAAGGGAGCCAGCCCTTGAGAAAATTCCAAGAACAATGATTGTAACTCATGACAAGACACAGTATGTGAAGTTTTTTCTGGCTCCTTGGCTTTGGTTGTTGATATAGAACTGTGTGGGTTTTTCTTTTTCATCCTCTGAGGAAGTTGCACTTTTTTAAACCAAAATACTGACTTAAGAAAGAGAGAGAGAGAGAGAGAGAGAGAGAGAGAGAGAGAGAGAGAGAGAGAGAGAGAGAGAGAGAGAGAGCTAGCTCACGCTCTTTGGGGAGAACTGGAAGGGATTCTAACTCAAGAACACCCTCCACGCCCTGTCAGTTGGGATCCAGACTGGGGGCTGATCCTGAAATGCCTTATCACACTGGCATTGGATTTACACTCCAGGGAGGGGTGGGGCAGATCTTGTTTAATACAATTTGTATGTCCTTCTAACACGCACAATGATGTGACAGCAGAACAAATTTTGTTATGGTTTGGAAGGAGCACTGTGCTGAAGCATTTTCTGAGGGTTCTGGAAAGGGTTGACCATTATCCCTTCAAACATGTCATGTTCTTCTCCCCTACTCTGATTCTCACTAAATGAATGCTGGACTTTTTTGTTTGTTTGTTTCGAGACAGGGTTTCTCCGTAGCTTTGGAGCCCGTCCTGGAACGCGATCTGTGGAGCAGGCTGGCCTCAAACTCACAGAGATCTGCCTGTCTCTGCTGGGATTAAAGGTGTATACCACCACCGCCCGGCTCATGCTGCATTTTAAAATCCAGACTCTACCTCCATAGTTCTTCAGCTCTTTTATACTGGATTGTTTTTGTTATTTGGTTTTTGTCTTTTTTTTTTGTCTCTGCTTCATTCTGTATGTTTTCTGTGGACCCACCTTTCCATTCCCAAATTCTTTCTTCAACTTTTTCTTACCTTTTGTAGAATGTGTTGATTGAGTTACAAATTTCTGAATATGATTTTTAAAATATTTCCTAGAAATCCCATTTGGCTCTATCAAGTTTTCTGGGTCACTTTAATAGTTCAGGATTCTCAGAAGATATTGTTTAAAGCTTCAGATGCTGTTGCATGTTTTGGGTGGGAGTGTGGCTCAGTGATACGGTTCTTGGTCTGCAGGGTATCACAAAAGTTTCTGCTACAGCCCTGATTCAGGTGGGATTCTGAGGCCATAGATCCTTAGGCTTGTGTTAGTCACCCTGTGGTCACTGTCAGGGGGGGAATACGCCCGAAATAAACTGCCAAAGGAAGGAAGGAAGGCTTTGTTTTCAGAGATTATAGTCTAGTTAGTTGGCACCATTTTGGGGGTGGGGGACTGCTCACTTCGTGGCGGCCAAGAGAGAGAAGTAGAGGGAGAGAGAAAGCGAATGGTACATCCAGTCTTATACAACAACCCATCAACAGACTAATCCATAGATTAGACCAGAGTCCTTATCATCCACTCATCTCTCAGGGGTTAATCCTGGGGACCAAGTCTTCACAGTGTGAACCTTCTTGGAGACAGTTTATTTCCAAACTATAGCAAGGCTCATGATGCGACGTAGGACAGTCACTCATTGTACATCT